ATATAAGTGCTGCTGAAGTGGAGGACAAAACTCATTTTTGAGAACATCTAATCTGCTAGAAGTTATTCAACATCTTAAGCCATTTTATTGTTCGCTTGACGTTCTCCCGCCACGTTTGTTAATTCGGGTCTGGGATGAGGTGGGATCTACGATCATGTCTATAGTGCATCAGAGCCTTGTAGAAGGTGTGGTCCCATCTTATTTTAAGCATGCTTTGGTGCAGCCTACTTTGAAAAAAACAAGTTTAGACCCATCAGAATTAAATAATTACTGACCAATTTCTAAACTGCCCATTCTGTCTAAGTTATTGGAGAAGGTTGTTCTTAATCAACTCTCAGCTTTTTTAAACGAAAACAGAAATTTTGATATATTTCAGTCCGGTTTTAGGTCTCAACACAGCACTGAAACTGCCCTTCTCAAAGTGACATGATCTGCTTCTGTCTGTAGACTCTGGGAATCGTGCGGTTTTTAGCGTGGCTTTTGACACTGTGGATCATGGAGTGCTTCTTGACGGTTTGAGGGAGTGGGGTGGGATTAGGGGGCTTGCTTTTAAGTGGTTCTCCTCCTATTTATATGGAAGATCTTTTGCAGTGGAGCCTGGAAGCTCTATTTCGTCTTCTCAGCCTATTTCCTCAGGGGTTCCTCAAGGTTCATGTCTTGGTCCTGTTTAATTTTCCCTCTATATATGCTCCCTCTGGGATTAATCTGCCAATAATATAATGTGTCTTACCATTGTTATGCTGAGGATATCCAGCTATATGTGCCCATGAGATGTAATGACGACTCCAACATTACAACATTAGGGCATGGTTGGCTGCTAATTTTCTGCAGCTCAATGAAGTGGTGATTTTTGGTCTCCCAAAGTTAGCCAAACAGCTTTCTTTACATCTTGACCCCTTAGCCACTAATGTCAACACCCAAGCGAGGAACCTTGGTGTAATCAGAGCTGAAATTTGACAAACAAGTCAATGCCGTGGTTAAAAGTAGTTTCTATCAATTGCGCAGCATCGCCAAATTGAAGAGAATTCTGTCTTTTAAGGACATGGAAACTGTCATTCATGCTTTTATTTAATCCAGATTGGATTATTGCAACTGGTTATATTTGGGATAGTCTAGAAAGTTGCTATCAAGGTTGCAGCTGGTGCAAAACGCAGCAGCCCGACTGTTGACAGGCACAGGGAAATGGTCTCGAGTTTCTCCGCTGCTGGCCTCTTTGCACTGGCGTCCTGTTGATTTTAGAGTCCAATATAAAGTTTTGACGATGGTTTTTAAAGGTTTGCATGGTCTTGGTCCGGAGTGTATAGCACGTCTGTTGCAGCATCATTATTCCGCTCGACCCCTAAGATCATCCCAGAGTTTGCTCTTACATATTCCCAAATCACAGTTGAAAACCAAAGGAGATCGTGCATTTTCTGTGGCAGCCTCACGTCTTTGAAATATTCTTCCACTGCAGATCAGATCCTGTGACTCGTTAATCTATGCTGAAAACACACCTCTATGCTGTGGGATACAGTTGCCCCTAGGGTTTGGGACACTGATCAGTGTTGTATATTGAGCCTTTGTTTTGTGTTGAGTAATGTGTGTTGAGTGTTTATTGAGTAATATTTAGACATGTACAGCACTGTGTTGTTTTTAAATGTCGATTGATTGAACACAGCTTTTAAAGATATGTATTGTAATGAAAATCTACAGTCGCAAACAGATAAAGTGCAATAAAAAGTGTATTTTGATGTTTTCTTTTCATAAGTCTGAAACAACACTTTATAAAAAAAAGCCAAATAGCCTAAAATCTAAAAATTCACCAGTGCATGAAAAACCTGTAGTGTCTTGCCTCAAGTACATGAACACGGCGATTACAGCTACACAAGCTCTATTTCACGTGCCGTTGCTTTTCAGAATGCTGCAAAAATGAGTGCAGATTCATAATGCAACGCACACTCAGCAAAGCTTCCTACAGCAGCATTAGTACTGTAAATAGTCTTCATCTTTGAGTGAGTGTGTGTGTGAGTGTGTGAGAGAGAGAGAGAGAGAGAGACACTGACACATGTATATAATGTTCCATTTCAGTTGTTACATGATTTCTGTATTATAATCTTTTTTCATTTATTATTGTTCCCTATTTATTTTATTTTGTTATTATTATTTTATTTATTTTTGCTATATATAGCCATGAATATATATATATATATATATATATATATCAAATATTGTCTTTTTTATTTAGTTGTATTATTATTATTGTCTGTACATAGACTTCACTAAATGTTCATGTTTCTAAATAATTTTCTGTTGTTTTAATGCTTTGGCAATACAAAATATATCTTTTTGTCATGCCAATAAAGCCTTCTGAATTAAACTGAATTTAATTGAGAGAGAGACAGAGAGAGAGAGAGAGAGAGAGAGAGAGAGAGAGAGAGAGAGAGAGAGAGAGAGAGAGAGAGAGAGAGAGAGAGAGAGAGAGAGAGGAAGAGTTGCACCTGTATCTGAAAATGTCTTCACCTCTTCTTCCAAACATATTTTTTTTCTATAATTAAGATTTTGATGTTGAATGCAAGCCCATTTTCGTTCTTTTGAATGGTCTGAAGATAATTGCTGATAATTATTTGTAATTATCTATAAAAAAACAGTCTGGGTTATTATAGTTAACTTAAACTAAAACTTAAACCATAAAAAAACATTTTTGTTGCTTTAAATAAAATAAATGTTAATTGACATACAAATATATATAAAAATTGTTTTACTTATTTTATTTCTTGTTATTATGTTATGCATCATTTTGATAAACAAGGTAAGTGTGTGTGTGTGTGTGTGTGTGTGTGTGTGTGTGTGTGTGTGTGTGTGTGTGTGTGTGTGTGTGTGTGTGTGTGTGTGTGTGTGTGTGTGTGTGTGTGTGTGTGTGTGTGTTTTTCAAAGCTCTCTGCTGTTCCCTCTTCAGAGAATTGAAAGTGGGATCAGCGCTGTGGGATTGATCTCTGCTTCCGTAAATGATGATCCAACAAGAGAGAGAAACTGCAGGGTGTCTCTGCTTCAACTCGAGTGTGTGTGTGTGTGTGTGTGTGTGAGAGAGAGAGAGAGATGGATCTGTTGAGAGAGGGAGAGTTGCACCTGCATCTTCACCTCTTCTTCCAAACATATTTTTTGTCCTGTTAATTGAGATTTTGATGTTGAGTCGAAACTCATTTTCTTTTTTCTCCCTCTTTTTTGGAATAATCTTAACATAATTGGTGATAATTATTTGTTATTATCTATAAAACTCAGCTGTAGTAAAGCCAACACACACACACACACACACACACACACACACACACACACACACACATACACACAAAATACTAATTGGTTGAGTGCAGTTTTCCTTTCATCAGTTCAGAGATGGAGAAATTCATTTATAGAGTTTGTTCACCTCTTCCATCCACTGAAGTTTTAAAACCAGTGATATTTTAGTATAATTTAGTATCACAACTTTTTTCTTTTTTTACTTTTCTGATTTTAATGATATATATTAATAAATGTTGAAATTAACTTTGACTTAGATTCATAAATGCTGGAGAAGTAGTTAGTTTATGTTAACTAATGAAACCGTGATGTGTGATGTGTTTCCTTTTTAATATTTCTGTATAGTTGTTGTTTTTTAGTTGAATTTTATTTGTTAACTAGTTTAATTTAGTTTAGGTTATTTTAGTCCTTCAAGTTAAGCTATAAACAATAAGAAATGTAGCCATGAGATCTAGCTAAATTACGTTTGTTTTTTACATCTTTATATTATTTTATTTCATTTAGTGTTTATTTTATTTCAAGTATCAACTTTTTTATGTTTTAGTTTAAGTTAGCGATAATAACTACATGCTGCTCATGATTTAAATTAGTTCAACTAAACTCAAGCTGCTCTTTTGATAAAGCAGTTAACTACTACTAAGATACTAACACAAACTAATCCAGGCAGCAATATCTGTTCAAATACATAGTCTAATCTATATTTGCAGAACTGATTTTAAATTGTAAATCACAGTATCTGACTCTGAACACGAGGATTTCAATTCAATTGAAAACATTCCTGTGAATCTTTTAGAGTGAAATTTAAATGAATCTGTGAGTCAGTTCGTTTGAGTCAGTTTGTTTGAGTCAGTTCGTTTTAATCATTTCATTTGAGGCAGTTCATTTGAGTCAGTTTGTTTGAGTCAGTTAATTTGAGTCAGTTCGTTCAAGTCTGTTCGTTTGAGTCATTTAATTTGAGTCAGTTTGTTTGGGTCAGTTTGTTTGAGTCTGTTCGTTTGAGGCAGTTCGTTTGAGTCATTTAATTTGAGTCAGTTTGTTTGGGTCAGTTTGTTTGAGTCTGTTCGTTTGAGGCAGTTCGTTTGAGTCATTTAATTTGAGTCAGTTCGTTTGAGTCAGTTCATTTGAGTCAGTTTGTTTGAGTCAGTTCATTTGAGTCATTTAATTTGAGTCAGTTCGTTTGGGTCAGTTTGTTTGAGTCTGTTCGTTTGAGGCAGTTTGTTTGAGTGTTTTTTTTTTCTTGTGGAAAATATTGTTACATGAAAAGTTACAGTAATGTCCGTATGAATGTAAAGTTGTTCATTTAAGTTGGTTAGTTCCCAGCACTGAATCCCTCGATGTGTTCATTGCTAATTTGCTAAAAGCCGTTCATGTTCTGTGTCTCGCTCTCGTCACTGGTTAATGGCTCTTCTCTTTATGCATTTCTGTTATGTGGATGCGCTAATGAGCCGTGCTGACGAGGTCAGTGTGCTGGAGGTCAAAGGTCAAACCCCCTATCAGCTTCATAGAGAGATGAGCTCCAGAACCATCAAAGTGAGAAAGTGGGAAACGAGGGAGTGGAGAACGACAACATTAATTTCCTTAATGGTGTGACATTTCCAGAGGCTTGGGGGTTAAACTCATCATAGCTATATTTCCAGAGGATTCATTAACCTTTGACCTTTCAAATGCGGTGCAGATGCTATAAACGACTTATTTATCTGCGTGTCTGTGTTTTATTTTCCCAG